TCGCTCAAAAGTAAGGACTCGCGAGTTCGGGTTATCATTTCGAACTCACCGTACCTCTTCTTCCGTAGTAAGGGGCTGGTACAAGCGGGCCGTTCTTTGTTTTTGTTCAAAAGAATAAACGTTGGTACTGAGTGTTTACAGGATGACGGCTCCACACATTAGCACACATAATATCTATGTATAGAATCGCCCATAAGATATAATCATTTTTCTTAGTATAATGACCGCATATATCTTTAAAAAGCCACATATGGACAAATACGACTGCCTTTTAATATTTTGAATGAGAATGAATGCTTAAGCTCCTATTCTCTTCGCAGAAAACCGTCCGAAAGGTGCTTTTCCTGCACAATTTGATGTGAAGGCAAATCCAACTAAATGAATGTCTCATTTATGGAAGATTGGGTGAGAAATGATGCAGCCATTAGTGATGCACTGGACTTAGCTGTGTTCTACTGACTTGCATCTAAGGAGAAAGAGTTCAAAACAAGCAAGAGGGAGTCGACTTTACACTCAAGGAGCACACGGCCTCATGCGAAGGCGGTATTCTCCCAGCGTATAAGGACAATTCATCTCGTTTGCGTCTGGCGGTCTTATACCCAGATAAGGCAATAACAATGATTCAAACGAGCAAGCTACTCACTTGAGCCGCTTAATCCCTTAGGAACAACAACTTGCACAGATTTAGTCGATAATCCATTTGTAATGTGAAGAAACATATTTGCTCCGCACTTTTGAGATTTTTGCACCCAACCCTAAATCAAGTGGGATCTGGCTCTTAATCATGGATGAGTTGATGTGCGCTTACATTTAAACGCACGGAAAACGATGGTCCTTCTTTGGATGGAATATTTTTAGATGTGCTAGAGAAAGCCCGAGATCGTAGCACTACGGACAGAGCATCTGGTGCGGCTAATTTCATTCTGAAAAACTATAATCTTCAACTTAAATTAAGGACTTTTATTCAGAATCCGCCTCACGTGTGCTTTCTTATCGCTAAAATTTTAAAATCATCACCACTACGGCGAATAACACCGAATGAAGGGAAAAGTTTTTCAAACTTTGTTTTGCTAGTTATATACATAATGAACCAGCTTCAATTCTAACCAAACATTAATTGGATAGTGTAGATAATTGACTTCGTTCTGTTCCTTGTGATCGTGAATATGCGCTCAACATTATCTCTCCATACCTCGTAAGGATCGGCCCATTAAAATCGGCGGATCCTTACAATGCTTATAAGCAATAAGGATCGGCTGATGGAGGGTGCGGCACGGTTGCTTTGCAGCAGAGATCG